TAATAGTTTCGAATCATCCTCTTTCCTTAATAATAATAAAATAAAATAAAAACACTCTTCAGCCACTGACCCCCACGTACCTTACCTACTGTATGTTTCTGTCCTTGTCTTCAGCTTCCATTTGACTTTTTTTTTTTCTTTAGGAAAATTTTGCAAACCAATGCCCAAGAAAGTTTGATTCCTTTTTGTTTTGGTTTTGTGGGTTTGGTGTTAATTGGTGTAAATTGGTCATTGAATTTTCAGTTTGAAAGAAAGATTGTGTTTTTCAAACTAGTAAAGAAACTTGGAATTGGGCATCTGGAAATTGCCACTTGAAAATTTGGAGTAGAAGAAAACTGAAAGAGAAAGAGATGGGACGGCTTGGTTCTCTCTCTCTCTCTCTCTCTCAAGTATGCGAGACAACACCAGATTTGAGTTGAGGTTGGCTTTAAGGCTGTTCTTGCTAGCCGCTAGGCTCCCACTCAGTTCAGGAGTAATCTTTTGTTGTAATTTATGCATTCTACATTGCAGTATCCATTTTCCAAAGTAGAATCTGCAGTGCAGTTCCATGGTTAAATTAGTCATTTGATAGAATTATAGAATGAATTTTTATGGAACATTTGGTTTAATGAAAAATTGAAAATTGAAAATGTTTCTTGTTGTTCTTATTAACTTGGTAAGTTGGATAACTTTTATTGATTATTTTATTTTTAAAGTACTTGTAATTCTTAGCAGTTGTTTGTTCTTGTTGTTACTATTAAAACGTGATGCACTGCCCACACAAATGAATGAGAAAAAAAAACATAAAAGTACAAATTCTCAAAATGATTAAAGTATAATATGTGATGAATTTGATTATAATAAAACAGAGCAACGTAGTGTATGAATCTACAAAATTGTAGAATAGAAATTGCACAACAGTGACTGAATTCGGGTTGACCTATTTCAAAATATCAAAAATATGAGAAAGGGTTGCGTACAAGTATTGGCATTAATATGTAATTTTTGTTCAATTGAGGTGCATTAGGAAACTTGAAAAGTCCATTGACCTCTTACTAATGGGTAATGCTAGGTGGACCAAATTTTTAAATCAAATTTGCATATCAAATTATTTGTCACCAATAGGAAATGAACACGTTAATTAACACTTAAGTAATTAATAATTCAATCATCAACAACCACATAATTTGGTTCACAATTTTGATCAACCTAGCATTACCCCTAACTAATTATGATAAATATGATCAATATTGTAAGTTTTGATTGACCTAAAACTAAAATTCCCTAAAAATCGTTAGAGCTTAATTTAAAAGAAACCTTTTTTCAATACAAATGTTAATTTCAATTGCTAAGAAAAAACTAACACTAAATCATGACCATAGGATCTTCATCAATGACAAAATTATATGCTTTAGTAACATTATAAGAAGGAAACGATTAGGAGAGAAGTCATCCCAATATTAAATTCTAAGAACAAAAAAAATTACTGGACGCGTGAAAATATAATTCCTTTTGGAATTCAATTTTATTTATTTTTACTTCAAAATCTAATTCTAATCTAAACTGTATTGAGTGATGTGAGAGTGTTTGAGCCTGAGTGCAGTGGAATTAATATGAATGGTGTTGGAAAATATTAGTATTTAGGTTTATTTTAGTATTTGGGTTTTGCTTGTTAGTTTAGGATTTGGGCCTAGCCCTTCCGAGTTAGGTTTTCTTAGGTTTGGTTCTTTATAAATAGAGCTTGTAATTTAGTTTGAGAAACAAATTATTCATAATGTAATCTCTTAGGGATTTGTAGCCGTTCCGGCATTCTTATTTGTTTAATAATATTCTTATTATTTTGTTAATCTTGTTCGTCGCACTCTGATATTCAACTAATGAAGGGTTTGAGCTCGAGTACGGTGAGATTAATTCGAAGTCGTTAAGCATTAGTGCAATCGACCACAAATTTGAAGCTAAATCGAGGCCCAACCCATAAAAGGCTACAACCTATATGCATGGCTGCTGGGCAGCTGAAACGGTGAAACCTATGTACAAAACCTGTAAGTTTTCCCAGCTAACTTTGTCTGACTTCATCAGAAAGAAGGAATTAATACTACATGACACTGTTTTATCTCTTATGTTACTACGCTGCATCCTGCATGTGAAGATTTATAAACCGAAGAGGAACTATTAATATATGGCAGGTGTATTGGTGCATTGTCAGGGTACAAATTAAAGGAAAAAAAATTCAGCCCATCAATCGAATTACTATGAATATATGTTCCAGTACTCTGCTCTCAAAATTGGACCACCAGTACATATCTATATAGTTTTTTTGGTTAATTTAGAACTAGTTCTGTATATATATTTGCGCATTTTTAGATATTTACAACCTAAAACCTCAAAAAGTATTTCTTCACTCGTCCAAGTAGTACTACATATCTTCCATTTGCTCTTGAACATGCAAGAAGTTGATGCTGTTGTTGGTCATGGACTTGCTGATTAGCAAGGACATATATACTTTGATTTGTTAATGATGAGTCTCATAATTCATAAAGTATCCTTTTTATAATTTTGATTAGGCTCCATTATATATAACTATTTGGGAATCTAACCTTAGACAAAATTTAAAAAATACTGTCGCTTTTATCTTTGTAGCTGCTGTTGCGATGATTTTATTTTTAGGAAAACTAATGAAAATAGCTTGAAAACTTTGAGTTTTAGAATTTTATTTTTCCGGTTACAGTACGTCTTCTCATTCTCTTCCTCTTCGTATCTCAAGGGTCAATGCTGGATTGCTTTGGTAAATAACTTCTTTTTTCTCTTCAATATATTAGGTTTTGAGTTCAAATCCTCTTTCTTTCTAATCTCTTTTTTCTTTTTAATCTAACTCAAAGTAGCACGTAATATCGTTTGTATATTTCAAGGATTATCTTTTATTGAAACACATTTTTAGGCCAATTGAATAAACCAACCCCTAGCTAGTTTGATGGTTTCATCAGTTAACCATGTAAAGCTAAAGAACCAAGGGTACATCCTGGATATTTTAACCATTTAAATCTTTTTAGTACTTGATTAATCATTATATATATTTTACGAAGAGGTGAGGGGAAAAAGGTAAACAGGCCAGGCTGTAGCACAAAGCTGGTGGTGGTGGGGGGGGTCCTGTTGAAGCACATTCCTTGATCACATATTATCTTCTCCGAAGATGAAGATATCCCGTCATCATTTGTATAAGCAATAACAATTGGAGATCAAAATATGACTGGTAAATTGGTTCCTTTGTCCCCGAATATCAGGACACACTTTGTACCCTAAAGTTATATCAAGTTTCTCAGCAACCCCAAAACAATCCATCCCGTCCGTACACGTGGCTATTAATGGCCAACCAGATGATTAACATTGCACATAGAACAGGATAAATAAAGGGAACAAATAATTCACATAAAAGAATTTGAATTATGTATGAAGGAAGTCAAGTTCACCATCATCCAGGGCCGTTTTTGAGATTTTGGAGGTACTGTGCGAAATTAATAAAAGGGTCCATATTTAAGATAGTTTTTTTTTAAAAGGTAGGACAATGTATTGACGCTAGAAAGTAATCACTTAACTCAAAATAAAGTTTAGCACTCACTAATTGCAAGTTTAAAAATGTCATTAATAATAAATAAAAAGAACAACAAACATAACGTTCACTAAATAATCAAAAGAAGTTCAATCTTAAATAACCAAACAAGAAAAAAAAACTTCAAAAACTCTAACTTTAAAGTTTTGCTTGAATATATAACATTATTATATAATAAATTGAAAAAAATACCCTTTTTAAAGGTATTATTATTGCATTAAAAGTATCTCATTGTACTCCAAATTTTTTATATTTAGAAAGGAAAAAAAAATTAAATGTTATAAGGAATGCAAGATGAGATTTTAAAGTGCTAACAAAAATAATTTTTAAATATAGAACATTATTATATATAAATATTAGGTGATAAAAATTTTAGGGACCCCTTTAAATTTGGAAACATGTGCGACTGCACCTTTCGCTCCCCCTCAACACCCCCTCTGCCATCATCATCTCATTTGCAATAGCAACAGCAACGAATTGCTAATTTTCTCCCTTTTGTTAGGTTAAGAGACGACGAGAAATATATGTTTACATTTAGAAAACTTGTCAAATGATGTACCTTTTTAATAAATACATATTACATGGCAGTGTTTCGAATAAAAAAAAAAATGGCTCAAGGGAAGTTGGGAGTCAACGTTCGCAGTTATTATTTACTAACCTCTCCATTATTGAAAAAGCTGCCTCGCAGAAAGTTTCAGTCAAACCACGAAACCCTAGCTCTCGTCACAACTCACAAGGCGTCCAGGCTTCTTCTGGAGAAGACTAGGGTTTCAGACGCACCACTAAAAGTTGGCAGACCCCAAAAGGCGTAATCGTGTTGAAAATTGAGCAACCTTCATAGTGATTTATATCAAAGCATCAATGATTATAATTAAACAATATTGGTTCCACGTCTAAAAAAGATTAGCTTATTCTTACAGATGGCTAGGGTTCGGGTCAAATCTGCCAGAGAAACATAAATGATAAGATCATAATATTCGATGGGATTTGAGAACATCAGAGTTAGACGAACTAACCCCCAGAGTTCAAAGAAATATTAGTGATAGTACTTAATGAAATTTAGCATCAAAGAAACTAATAAACCTATGAATCTAGAGCAAGAACAGAAGAAAGAGAAATAATTATCAATAAAAAAGAAAGAAAGTGAGGAGGGGAAGATGGAGAATGAAAACAAACAATCACGACTAATATATATAGTTCTTTCTCAGATCGATGGATAAAATCCCAGAATCCCAAAATTCCTTATCCTTAAATAACAAAATCCCTTATCCTTAAACGAGTCTGAAATCAAAGGATGAAAGCTGGCTTCCATGGCAGAGAGAATGAGAACAGATAACGATAAACACCAACATAAAGGGAAAGTTATACGTACTCTGCAGAGGTGAGTAAAAAGCAGCCACGAGTGATAGAGATTAGTAAGAAGAAGCCATGAAACTCAGGATGGATAGCGTCAGATGATGACCAAATAAACGCTTAATTGTTAGAATCTTGGTTAATTCATCTGGCGCTATCCCTCCTGAGCTTTACAGATCCTCCCTTACTTTAATAATTCTACCGTCAAATTAAAAGCCTCCATACATTTCAAGAAACCCTAATCAAGGCTATAGTGGAATGAAAGGCCAGATCCCTTCAAAATCTGAACAAGAGATGGAGAGGGAGAGCTCATCTGTTGGTGGGTGGGTTAGAAAAGTGAGGAAAAAGGGTGTATTTATAAGAGGGGTAGAGATCTGAGAGTTGCTTCTATTGGAACACGAAGAGCTTAGACTAAGTAAAACGATCGGGTTTGTGTGGAGGGACGGTTTATTTTAATATATAATTATGATTTTTATTTTGTGTGTAATTTTGTTGGTTTGACATGACAGTGCTTTATTTGTTGTTACTTTATACGCTGCCGACTACTATACTCATCTTCAATGCTGGGATGTTATAAGGTTCTGGTACAATACATACTAATTAACCTTTGTTTAGCAACTTTGCCCTAAGTAAACTCCAATTCTCTTGGCGAAGGTCGCAATGCGACAAGACCTAGCAAGTACCATCCCATATGTATATGTATATATATGTGTGTGTGTGTGTGAATATCCAATCTGGAGTATGACGATATTTGTACACTCTCAACTGACCATTAGTATTCCGTCTCTAATATAAGTGAGTAACACATTTTGAAAATGACGTAGCCGATTGAGTTGCATCTCTCATGTGGATATGTTTCGTTGCTATTAGTGAGATGATATATACATATGATTATTTGAAAGGGTACAAATAGTTTTATTCTTTCAAATCAATTTTGTACAAATTAAATATATCATCGTATTACAAGCACTCTTCCAGGCCTAAAATCTAGGATTATAACTCATGCATTACAAGCACCCGTACCTCCCCCAAGGATAAAGATTCTCAGGATTCTTCTAATTAAGTATATGTTTAAGAGTACTTTGTCTTAAATTATAACTCAAAATCAAGTTCCTAGTTAACTTATTTCAGTAGGTATTTAGTTCTATTTGTTTTTTAAAAAGGGACAACTTGTAGCAAGCCATGGTTATCTACCACTTTCAGGTGTTGAGAAGCTATGGGGGTTATCCACCCCTTCTAGGCCTTGAGAAGCTATGGGGAATTTCACTATGTCAGTGGCCACAGTCAAGCAGACTCACCAGCAGAGCATCAAACCCGAGACCTCCCATATTTTTTTGTTATTGAGAAGCCGCAGTTGGTACCCTTACCAGTAGGCCACTTGTTGTGGTTAGGTATTTTGTTTAGTTTGAGAAGGATGAATTGTTACAAGGTTTAGCTGTAAATAAGAAAATAAAATTAGCATGGAGCTTGTGTATAACTCAATTGACTAAGAAAATATTTACTTATGTACTCGAAGACTTAAATTCAATATCCCCTCTCAATTGTGGCTGTATAAAAAAGAAATATGTATACGACGATATGTATAAACGACTAGATACCAAAGAAGGAGAGTTGGATATCTATAAACTAGCTAGAGCAAGGGAAAAGAAGACAAGGGACCTAAACCAAGTGAGGTGCATCAAGGATGAGGATGGAAAAGTTCTTGCTACAGAGAATGCGGTTAAAGACAGATGGAGAGGTTATTTTCATAATCTTTTCAATGAAGGACATGAAAGGAGTGCTTCTTTAGGGGAGTTGAGTAACTCAGAAGAGTGTAGAAACTACTCTTTTTATCGTCGAATCCGGAAGGAAGAAGTGGTTGTAGCTTTGAAGAAGATGAAGCAAAGAAAAGCAATAGGCCCAGACGAGATACCAATCGAAGTGTGGAAAGTTTTGGGAGAGACAGGTATAACATGGCTCACTGACCTTTTCAATAGGATTTTGAAAACGAAGAAGATGCCAAATGAGTGGCGAACAAGCACTTTAGTGCCTATCTACAAGAATAAGGGCGACGTACAAAATTGCATGAACTATAGGGGTATTAAGCTAATGAGTCATACAATGAAGCTTTGGGAGAGAGTCATTGAGCATAGATTGAGGCAAGAGACACGGGTTTCGGACAACCAATTCGGGTTCATGCCAGGGCGCTCAACCATGGAGGCAATCTATCTCTTACGAAGATTGATGGAAAGATATAGAGATGGGAAAAAGGATTTACACATGGTCTTTATAGATTTGGAGAAAGCGTACGATAGGGTCCCAAGAGACATTCTTTGGAGGATTTTAGAGAAGAAAGGAGTACGAGTAGCATATATCCAAGCTATAAAGGATATGTATGAAGGAGCAAAGACTGCCGTAAGAACTCATGAAGGACAAACTGAAAGCTTTCCCATAACTGTAGGATTACATCAAGGCTCATCCTTAAGTCCTTACCTTTTTGCGTTGGTAATGGATGAGTTAACAGGACATATTCAAGATGATATTCCTTGGTGTATGCTTTTCGCAGACGATATAGTGTTGATAGATGAAACTCAGGAAGGGGTAAATGCAAAGCTTAACCTTTGGAAAGAAGTGTTGGAATCTAAAGGTCTTCGCCTAAGCCGATCAAAGACAGAATATATGGAGTGCAAGTTCAGTGCAAATGGAGGCCAAAACGAGTTAGGGGTGAGGATCGGTGATCAAGAAATACCAAAGAGCGATCGTTTTCGTTACCTAGGATCTATCTTGCAAAAGAACGGAGAATTAGATGGAGATCTCAACCATAGAATACAAGCTGGATGGATGAAGTGGAAGAGTGCATCCGGCGTGTTGTGTGACCGCCGTATGCCACTGAAGCTCAAGGGAAAATTTTATAGGACGGCAATAAGGCCGGCGATGCTGTATGGCACAGAATGTTGGGCGGTGAAGCATCAACACGTACACAAAATGGGTGTAGCGGAGATGAGGATGCTTCGTTGGATGTGTGGGCACACGAGAAAGGATAAGATTAGGAATGAGGATATCCGGGGTAAAGTAGGAGTAGCCGAAATTGAAGGAAAGATGAGAGAAAATCGGTTACGGTGGTTTGGACATGTGCAAAGAAGGCCTACTGACGCTCCGATTAGAAGATGCGACTATGGGACAGAGGTTCAGGGCCGAAGGGGTAGAGGAAGACCTAAGAAAACTTTGGAAGAGACTCTAAGAAAAGACTTAGAGTACTTGGATCTAACGAAGGACATGACACAGGACCGAGCACAATGGCGTTCTAAGATTCATGTAGCCGATCCCACTCAGTGACTTGGATTTTCCAAGTCTCCAACCGAGAAGTTTTCCTCACTCAGGAAATTAAGGGAACACTACCTCAACCTACATGCTCCACTCACAAAGCTCCAACAAAAGAAAATTCAAAGAACTTAGAGAAGAAGGCTTTGGTGTATTTAACACAATACGTTGAAATGAAGGAAAGCTTATTTATTGATATCCCCGATAAGCTACAAATATGTACATATACATGAGTCAAAATAAACAAACAAGAGAGAGCCTTCACAAAGGTTGCTTAGGAGAAGTCGCAGCAGTCGGTAGAGCCCCAGAAAGAGAAGGCACTGGAGGGGGATCATTCGGAGCCTCAGTACTGGACAGAACCCTAGAAGGAGGAGGCATCAGAGGTTGATCATTTGGAGCTTCATTACGCGGTACAGCCCCAGAAGACGAAGGCAATAAATGCCTTTGGAACAAACCCACAAATCTCTGATGATCAAGTAAAACCTGACCATCAGATTCCTTCATCTGGTCCAGCTTCCTCTTCATGTTTGTAGCATAGTCATGTGCGAGACGGTGCAACTGTTTATTCTCATGCTTGAGCCCTCTAATCTCCTGTTTGAGACTCATCACTTCAGCCGCCAATGATTCAACTTGGCGGGTTCGAGCAAATAGGCGTTGGGCCATATTAGACACAGAACCTGCACACTGAACACTGAGAGCCAGAGAATCCTTAACAGCTAACTCATCAGATCGTTTGGAAAGTAGTCTGTTATCTTTGGGAGTGAGAAGGTTCCTGGCCACTACCGCAGCGGTCATATCATTCTTCATAACGGAATCCCCAACGGTAAGAGGACCAGTAGGGGAGACGAAGGATGGGCGCCATATGTTGTCTGGAGAAGGCGGGGCTGCCTCTTCAACAAGGTTCAAGTCAAAACGACGGTCGGAGGGGCCAGACATTTTCAAAGGTGTTGAAGAGAGAAGAGGTCGAACAAATCAAGATCTTAGAAGTGTAAGAATGGAGCTTCTACTGGTGGAGATTCAAGTGTGCTTTGGAACTTAATGCCAGCCCCTATAAAAATCTGCACTCGACGGAGCTTCAGAAATCGAAGAGGCGCCTGCTCAGAAATCGAAGAGGCGTTTGCTCTCTCAAAAGCTGGGCTGCTCAAAGACCACGAGGGTCGATCTCAGAAATCGAAGAGGCGTCTGCTTTCTCAAAAGTTGGGCTGCTCAAAGACCACGAAGGCCGATCTCAGAAATCGAAGAGGCGCTTGCTTTCTCAAAAGTTGGGCTGCTCAGAGACCACGAGGGCCGATCTCAGAAATCGAAGAGGCACCTACTTTTCCAGCCTTGGCAGCACCTGTCACACGCACACTCAGCTTTGCGGAAATTATGGGCATTCTGTCGAAGACTTCTGGTGAAGTAGAAAGCACATGAGTCTTACTGTTCAATCACCCACTTCCCACACGCAATAGTAGCTCATGTGTATCACAGATAACTTTGCCAAAGTTCTCTGCCAAAGTTGAGCACGTGAAGCTTGCAGCTTCCACTACATCGCTCTGACCAAGACGGGTAAAAGAATAGCAAAGAAATAGCACTAACAAAGTTTAGACACATAAATTTTGAAGGTCTAGCTACCCCATATTATTACCCACAAGGGTAAAGGAACAGTATCACTGCTGGATAATTGGAAAGTCCCTGTGTGTCAACCTCTGTGCTTCGTGGCAAGGTAGACTAGCAAACATGCCCAACCTTTACTCACATTCGAGAAAACACTCCCAACGAGATTGCTTGCTCCAAAATCGAAGAGGCATCGTCCTCCGAATCTCGAGAGCCAGACTCCCAACATGACTACTTTCTCAAAAATCGAAGAGAGGGTAAAGGAACAGTACCATTGCTGGATAATTGGAAAG